TTGATATAGAAATATCGTGATCATTGGTACATGTTATAATTTTTACATCGGATTAATCTTAATTAAACATAGGGTCTGAAGGTTATATGCTCACCGTAAGGTTTGAAGGTTTTGCGTTTGATTCCTGGTGAGGTCATAGAAGGTTTTAGTGTAGTTTGGTTCTCTGAGCTGTGTGATTTGGTCGTCAAGCTTTCATCGTTATTCTGAACGACACCATCATGGATGTGCACTAACAAGAAGTCCCATACTAAAACGAAAATACAATTCAATTGTTTCTGGTATTTAACAGCTATCTAAGGTCACTCAGTGACATAAACTACGAAAATTTTGTCATGCATGATTTTCAGTGATTCCTCACATTATCTCAGTCTATAGTGAAAACACCTACTTACAAACTACAAAAAACCACATCATAATCACGTGATCACTATTGACTAGTCCTAAAGATGGATTTCATGAAGTTTAATTAAGAGGTCGGTATATTTGGAGTAAGGTTCAGTCAATGCAGCACTTCACCAATGATAATCGATGAAGAATACACTATCTGAACGATTCACAAAATCTGAAGACCTGAGGAATCGGATTCTGCGTTGTACATTAAAATAGTGCGCCTACAACCAGAACTAGTATTTCTTGATATCTAGTCATATCCCTATAGGTTCTTGGCTGAGAACTGGTAAGAAGTTTCGAAATGAGATTAAAGGACTGCCTAATAATGTCTATATTCAGTCATTCTTTGTCTGATGAAATGAAAATACAACCTGAATCTCCTATATATATATTATGTAGGCTCTTATTTCACTACAAAAAATAAGAAAATTCTAATCGGAAAGTGATAACGATCTCAATGAAATAGACAGTTTAAGTCTAGGAAAATCTAAGATTCAGGGATACATAACCATGCATAAACACTGAAATTCAATCACTAACTTCCTTTTCTAATCATTACCGATATCAGGTGATTACTTCCAAAGAATTATTTTTACCATAGTAACACAAAATGTGGACAGATTGAAAATTTAATACGTAACACAGACAAACTTAATAGTTTCCTAATTCTACACCACATTTTTAAGAATATTTTCTAATTAGTAGTTTACATTGAAATGTAAAAGTGAAATCTGGCAATCAATGTAAAATGGGAAACAAAATCAAAATATTAAAATTTTGTTAGAAAAAAAAACACTATTTTTGTCTTCCCGTAATTACCATAATCCCTAACACATTAAAAGAAAGATTACTTAAAATTCCATGAAAAAAATTGGGATAACACAAAGATAAATTTCAAACTATTAACTCAGTGAGTTAATTTTATAACAAACAAAATATTCACGTTCTCGATGTGAAAATGACAAGAAAACAAGCTGGAACTCTAGGAAGATCTATCTACAGGAAACCCATATGGAACGACTAACTATCAAGTTTCCACAGCTGGGTGCCTCTTAATGGAAAGAAAAACTTAATATTATCACTCGCCACGCGAATACAAGGAATTTGTAGTCCCGAGGTCACAGACGACGAACTGAGCCTCGTGAAGGAAATACTTATCAAAAATGGGTATTCTTCAATATTCATTGGTAAGAACATCAAAGCCAAAAGCGCAGAAAACACAAATAACTTCAGTCAAAAAGAAAACATCATACATAAAAACCGACTTTAAGGGTGACAGAGCCACATACGTCTTAAAGAGGAGAATTTCTGGTTCTTTAAAAAGAACGTTCTTCGCAGCCAAGTTGTGAATAGTATTCTCCAGCCATTCATTGTTCACCAATAATCTTAAGGATAAATTATCTCATCTGACCAACTAAGTGTGTACTTACCAATTTACCTGCTCATTTGGAGCCAGGTATATAGGTCGTTCGATGAGTACTTTATCCAAAAGAAATCAAGAACATTATCTGGCGTGTCTAAGAAAAGGAGAAAACGGCTCAATAAGAAGTCCAATAATCGAATATCTTGTGAACACAGGTCAGTCAATCAAGACAGACTTTGCATTCAAAGTCATCTACAAAGTAAGTAGAAGTCTTCCAAAGACAATTATATTGCATCTTCTTGTATGTCCAAAAGAGATTGGTACAACCTCTTCTTCTACCATGGACTTAATGTCTTAAAATTTTTCTAATACCCTTTTTCATTTATGGCCATCTACTTCCCCTTACATCTCCATTTAATCTTCCGCCCCTAACTGGTTTATTTCTGTTTCTACGATCCTCCTGATTACATTTAATCTCAGTTCCAACATTTTACGTTATCATGCTGAACCATCCTTTCCCGATGATAATTGCCCTATCTATCTTTACGATGAGTATTTAAGCCCTTAACAATCAAACGATTATTAGTTTCCCTGTTGAAAAACGTTTTTTAATACATTTGTTTATTCTACCTCACTGTCTAACAGAGGTTTATTATCATTATTATTGTAACTATAATCGTCCTGAAAAAAAGTATATATATTTGCGATTGTACAGCTTTGAAAATGAATTCGCCGAAAAGAGAACTCTTCGCTGAACTAAACTTTCTTATCCAATTTTACAATTGTCATGTGTCCATTATTCTTGTTGTCTACTTACATAACATGAACTAGAATGATACTGATGGATAGTGGCTAGCAGTGGAATCCAGGACGCGCGTTTCGTCCTATTTGAGACTCGTCAGCTGGATGTACTTGCACCTCAGAGAGTTAATGTTCACTCTGGGACTCGAACACGGTAACATTCGCTTCAAACGACATCGCGTTATCCACTCAGTTACTGAGTCCTGATAGCCACTTGCTTGTCCAATGGGGTGAATCTGAATTCAAACAACACCAAGTGAATTCAAAATGATACTGTTTAAAAAGAAAGTGTTTTTGTTTTGGTGCAGATAATTCACCCTAGAGCTAATTATGCTTAGCAAAATGATTATTTTGAAAAAAAATTTTCTTGAATAATCCGGATACCATGTACCATATTGATTTCGAAAAAATTAAAAAAAAGAAGTGGAAACTGTTCTTTTTCATGATACAAACTGACAAAAATATCCAACACAAAATAAATTAATACCAGAAGGGGTTTTTGTGGATATTATAGTAATTTAAATAGTTGAGATCGTGAGTCAATAAAAGCTAGATCACCATGAAAAACCTGGAAGTACTGAACGGCCCTTTTGTCCCATTTTGGGACTCCTCAGCAGTGCGCATCCACAATCTTTAGAGATTAAGTGCTCGTGCACGAGACTGGGTTCGGATTTCGTGTGGGGGCGGGATCGTGGATACGCACTGCTGAGGAGTCTCACAATGGGACGAAGCAGTCGTCCAATGTTTCCAGGTTTTCCATGGTGATCTAGCTTCAATTGACTGGTGATCTCAACTATTGAAATTGCAAAATAAATTGTAACATTATGATTGTATAGTGGGAAAAATTCGTGACAAAACTTAAAATATACCCGTATCTATTTGATTAACTAACTCAGTTAAACTTAATTTGATGAATTATATATGGATAGAATATCCACTATGATAAATTTGATACCATGACTAGTTTATTAAAGAAGTATTCGTTTCTGAAACTATATTTACGAATTATTTATGGCAAACAGTTACTCATTTTTAGTAGACCACTAATTATAATTTCATGGTATTGTGTTCCCTGAACAGAATAATTTAACAACAAAGCTTTCATTATCATTCTGAACAATATTATCGGTGATTAATTCTACTCGATAATGTAATCAAGGTGTACAGTTACAATGTAATCATCTACCTGAGAAAATGTAACACCACTATAAGCTTGCATTTTCAATAACATATTAAGTTTGACGAAATCCCAAATATTTACAATGGAAATGATAATTCTCTTCAAGTCATTATCTTGATATAAGCAACAATACATACTCATTAAACTATGATAATAATAAAAAATATCTTTCAATTACTAGACCATTAATTTTGTATGACGAATTACTAATTATATAGATACCTACTTTATAGGTTTGTCTAGGTTTTCACAAATATATAATTATATGGAAGTAACTATTGTCATTAATTGAAATCTGTTGGATTGATTATCAGTCTAATTTGTATGGATAAATACCAACGACCTACGTATTGTCAGAGATACTGAATGGTTAAAAAATTGATCGATCAGATGCCTTTATTATTATTATTGTTATTATCTTTCTAACATTAAATTCTCGGTTCTCGAACTATGTTCTCTATTTCTTTCTACTGTCAGCGGTAGTATAACTACTTCTATCATTATAGATGAAATTTAGCTTGTTTATTGAATCACAATTTATTGATCTAGTGTGAAAATTTAGGCCAATGAAAATATGTCTCAGCTCCTACGTTGCTTGTGACTAGTCGACATCAGTCAAGTAATCATTAAAAACTATAAAACATTAACTGACTATTCTATCCTTAGTGAGACCTATCCACCTTATGATTAACAAATTCTCTTTAAACAACTGTTTCTTCAACTGATATCAGCTTGTAATTCAAAAGTTATTTCAGACTTTTAACATAAGTTTATAGTTTATTTTATAAATTTCATGTAACCCATATACATGTTTATTCACCTCATTTTGAACCATACAATTTATGTACTGATTAGTGATACTATCCATTAATCTAAACCAAACATAATTGGAGGTGGATTGGAACATAGAACTTATTAAGTAAATATTAACTAATTTAATGGCTAACCACCTAACATGATATAGCATTGTATACATAGAAACATTGTCCCATTCTAATTTCTATTACTTACCCTAAAAAAATGTAAACAACAGATCGATAAAACTAAAACAATAATTGAATTTCTATAAACCAGGTTAAACTCTTTCATGAATCTAACTAATAATAATAATAATTTATAACCATTCAGGAAAAACAAATAAGTGGAAAATTAAAACATAAAAGACCAATAAAACAATAACTCCCTTCTATGATAATCATGACGTGGCTGTCATCATTTCAATGTATGAATGACTATCATGAAAAATTAGCAAAGAAAAAAGGATATCCCCATTCAATGATAATTTTTGAATATTTTCTAATTGCATTCTCTTCAGAGAATATAAATAATGTTTTATGATTGGATAGATGTAATCCAGGTATACCAATGGCTAGTGTACGTCTAGCTAAATTACGCATTGTTTCATCTTTGGACATTTCTAAATTATTTTCATTCTCTTTATGAATATTTAATTTAACAGTTAATGGTATAGTTGAATTGGTAGTGGTTACAGTAGTAATAGTATTAGTAGTAATGTTAGTAGTTGTTGTTGTGATTGTGTGTGTGTATGGTTTTTTGAAAGAATCTAATTTTTGATAGATTATTCCACTTTTTAAATCAAATTCATCATAATTTTGAGATTTACTATGATCATTTTGATTTGTATAATTTGAAAGATTACTTTTCATTTTTACTATATCAGTTGTTTGATTATTATAATTATGAGTAATACGATTTTCCTCATTATTCACATTTTCCACCTTGATTGTTTCCTCTGCTTCATCTGTTTCATCCTCTTCGAGATTATCATCCCGAAACCTATCAGTCGATATATTATTGTTACCTATACTGACTGTATTTGAAACTGATATATCATTAACTTGACTTGTGACACTTGTACTAATGTTACTCTGATTTGACTTATGCATTTCATGACCTCTATGATCAACCATCGTTTTCTATTTGTTAAACCATTTTACATAACGGCAAAACTTTACACTAATCTCCAAGATAACAGAATGACATTTTGAAATAACTAAATTTTAAATCTCCTAAAGGCGAAGTTATTATGGTTTCAACACTTTCAATTCCATAATAGAGAAGACTCTAATAGTTTGCTAGCCTTAATAACTTTTTTTATTATGTAAACTTTTAGATCATTAATACATACATATATTCATGTGCTGGTTGAATTCAAGATCATAGAAATTTGCTTGTAAACAAATTGATAACTGAATAAATTGTTTGAAATAAGATAATCCACGGATAGTGTTTCATGATTCCTTCTCTCCTGTTGTTGCTGACGTTCCTGTAGTCATTTTTTTTTAATGAAAGTTATTAATCCTGTGAAATTTTGTTATTAATAATTGAAAGAATAGTAAGAATGACTAATAATAATCTGTAATGAGGAGTTCAAAGAAATTATGCATGAGTAGGATAATTATACACATAAATATACATGATAGAAGTATGACTGTCGGCGTCGTTTCTGATCGATAGATAGACACATACAACTTAGCGATTTTACCTCATAGACAAAATAGTGGAACAAACACAAACCAGAAATTATTTTATTTAACTGTCAGATATGAACTCAATAAAATAACATATATATATGAATGTTACTGTCCACATATACACACATACACAATTTGAGCATACTCATAAATGTGTATATGGATATGTTTAAATTATACATATATATGTACAACAATGTCAGAAATGTCTTGGATAACACCTGTCTAACACGTGAACAGATATGTCTCTTTCTCCAATCTAATCATAGGCCAATAAAAGGAGTGATCGAATTTCCCCACAACAACAAGAAAAATTAATAAAGAAAAATCAGATATGAGGACAGCTAAGCACTCTAAAAGAAAGATTTCATTGTCCATTCAAAAGTCACGTATTTAATTTGTAGAAATTCGTCAATAAGAAAAATTCTATTTGATTAAAATATAAATGAAAGAATATATATGTTGAAATTGGTATTAATTCCATACCCTAAGCAATTCTGCACAAGAGAGTAAGCTTGTTTAAAACATAATAATTATATTGTATGTGTGCAATAGATTATGTGGCAATAGATATAATATTAACATATAGGTGGTTGGAGGTAGTCGGCAATAAATCCTCAGTCAGTCATTCAGCTACAACGTAGGACCCGGCACATATATGCATCGGTCCAAGTTGCCATACCTCATTAACACAACCCGACCGTTGTTGCTACCTTGACGTGGTGGTCAGGCTTGTCTATCTTGATGAAGCAATCGAGCTATACTGGCTGGAACAACCGTTCCTCTAGGTCCTACCATGTCAGACAGGTCGGTTGAAGAGCGATAAGACTAAAAGCAACAAACCCAAGGTCTGAAGGCGAAGTCGTACTGCTGACTGTACAGAGGTGTGACAACAGTAAGGTGTTTCCTTCAGACAACCAGCATGACAGCGATGCTGCCTTCCCACAAGGAGGATTGTGGTTAGAAAAGGTCGACCCTACAAATGCACACCTCACCTTATACAACGGATATCCGTCTCCAGCGGTAAGGTCTCAACAAGTACGGAGCTAACACAAAAATTACCTATAAAATGGTCGTGTGTGACCGATCTCAAGCAGTTGTCCCTTGGGCACTGCAGTCACGCTCTCAGGTCACTAAGACCACCTCTAATCCAATTTCCTTTTCAGGCACCTCCAGAAGAACCCTTCCACGGTGTGGGCAACCGGGAAGTGATAACCGCCCTCATACCTCTAACAGCACTCAAGACCACTGTATTCATAATCACCCCCCCTGGCAATAAATCCTGGACATGGATTTCGTGCTACTTGACACTTATCAGTAGAACACATTTGCAATATTGAAGAAACTGGTGCTCCTTGGCCGACTTGATTCAATATCACACGACTTCATAATTTGAGACGTTGCCACTGAGATAGTTCGGCTGCGAATGACTCCTCTATAACTGACATATTCACAATAGATTATTTAGTGAATAGTAACCAAATCCATTTTTAGGTTTTCTTGTTGATTATATCCAACCATCCTATACAAATTCACAGAGAAACCCTATGTTAAGTTAATCAAACTAATGACCATATTACAAATCAATCGATAGGTTTCGACTACTAATAAAGAATCAGACAAACATGGTATCGGAAACTACTCAGTGATCAATTAGTTATAGTATGAATTAAGGCTACTAACTAAAAAGACGTTAGAAACTCTTACTAAAATCGCTGAGGCAATCGATTAGCTTGTCTACTTGAAAAATCTAATTCATTTTCAATTTTACCTTTCACTATCTAGTGTGTTGTCACACATTAAATACAATAGTTAATCTGAATGGTTACCACTTATATTTAACTGTCTATTTGTAGTAAATTGGTATCTTAGCATCTCCAGTTTTTAAATAAGTTAAACTGAAGTCAATTAGAAAGATTATTTCTTCTGGGGATGCTAGATCCCCAGAAGTCGCCTAGTAAAAGTCTTACTTTTGTAATTTTATTTCAAAATTTTGAATTTATCATTTTCGTGCTAAAAGCGCCGATTATTACCTTCAGTTTTTATTTACCACTTGGAAGGACATTAAATATCAATGGTTCATTCCCTCTGTTAATACGCTATTTCGTGACGTTTCCTAAGGACATTTTTATACTGTATATACCCTTGAGTTGTGTGCTTGTTCGTCCGTGCTTCCGACTTTTTGTGGAATATACTTTTTCCTCTGCTGAACTTGGTCTTCTCCCTCAAGTTAGCAGGGCTGCGATCCAGTGAATAGTTTAGTTTGTACTGTTGTTATGTTGCTAAATTTCTCTCTGTTTCTCCGGTTTAGATAATATCGTTATCTCTTTAAAAATAGCAATTTTTCGTCAGGAATTGAGTTTTTCAAGAACCATAAGAAGATACTAAGAAGCATCAAATAAATGTTTTATTCTAATTATGACTTTTCTATGCTCACAATTACAAACGGGATCATATTGAACATCTTCAATAAAAATAATGAACTTCATTAAACCAACTTTTCCTTTGCCTCTTAAATTTTGAATGATTATTGAGCTATATCAGTCCATAATGAGAAATTATCTTTCATATATTTGTGTTTTAATTATCTTTCAATTAACATATTCCCGCAAACCAACCTAACGAAAATGATTAGGTCACAAATATATCTTAAGAAATAAGAATTTTAAAATTCAGTTATTGTTTTGTCAATTTTCGTGAACATTCACGAACATTCACGGATAGGAATTAGATTAAGAGAACTTTAATATTCTGGATGGCAGAAATTAAAAGAATTCCAAAGAACTTCTGGAAGTGTGGGATTCGATCCAACTATCAATCATACATATATCTGTTCCTGTGTATCAGCATAAACAACATTATACCATGGTGTTTAACAACTAATCGGTATTCATGTTGACGCAGATGAAGAAGGCAGTAATTTCATCTTATATACTGTTTCCTGTGGTTGCTCCGGTTTATCATGTAGATACTTTTTAATGTGCCTGCTTTCTTTGTTGTGTTCTTTGGTTTCACAATACTGATCGTGAAGACTTTGTGGAATTGTAGAATGCACCTATTACTAGTGGCCTTAGTAATCTGTTTTTGACATGTGAGATGCTTTTAATGCATTTCAGGATTATCTGTCTTTTCAATTTTGCTGTTAATTTTATGCCAGATAGTGGGCCCGATAAAAATTTCTGGACGAAGTTTTGGGAGCAGTCATTATTCCCAATACATTCGTCAGGTATTCCATTATATTTATTAGCGTAACAGTGATCCTACATGGTGTGTTAATTCTTTTGAACAGGGTTTGTAAACAGCTCAATTTGGCTTCAGTACACTTGGATCTCAAGTATGCACATAGTGGTTATGGTGATCAGGATTTCGAAGAATGACAGTATGTTTTCTGGTTTCGCTTGTGATGTAAACATTTCATCATCAAAAAAATTTTCGGACCAAATTGTTAATAATCTACCACTAATCATTTTTGGCTACGACAGATGTGCCGTCTTCACGGCATTTTCAGAGTTTTTGTGTTGATCATTGATAAGACTGAAGATTTCAGTCTGAATTATGGCTTCTTCAGTTAATCCAGATACTAATGATATTCCTGGGGTTCCTTTTGTTTGTTTGTATGTGTTAAATTTTGAATTAGAAATATGTCTATACACGTGCGCTGATGGCAGCAATTGAGTTTTTACATTTGGTTTTTGTGTATTCGCAAAGGTTTGTATTATTGATGTGGAGAAGGGATAGATTTTGGTTCAATTAAGTTGTGTAAGTCTATGATGTCGAAAGATGTCACCAATTCATCATTCAAGATTTCACAATCGGCAACCTTTTGTTTCTTAATATTATTGTAATCTTTGTAACTCATCACTGTTAGGTAACTGATACTTGTTGGCAAATTTACCTTATAAAGTTTATCATGACTGAATTTAATTGAAAATTACATCTTTCATCTTCTTAACAGAATGAATTGTCGCCATTAATTGTTGTTGTGTATTAGCCTTTAATCTATCTGTCTAATTTAATCTAGCCTATGTACGTCCTCACTTTGTTCTATTCAATCCATACAAATCGATGACAGATACCTTTGTATTATTTGTTGGTATCTAATCGTCTCATCAAATCTAAAAAGTGACTAATAAACCAGTGAGACGAAACTTTGTATCATCTATAACTCAAGAAATGACCTGAAAACTTTACAATCTATTTGCACGAGAATTCTGACACTTTATGATTACAAACATTTTGTAAGATAACTCTTTCGGCTCTACCTGGAGTCTTTCTAGGGTTATAGCCAACCTCAAGAACAGACAAAAGTAAGAGATTTGGGTGTGTAGTTTGTAACTCCGTCCAGTAGGAGAAAAAATGTTAACTAGAAAATACCATTGAAATTATCTAAACTCCGTTATGACAGTTGAAGGGCCTTCATTCAGAAGCGGTATAGAGCCTCATGATGAAAGCCAAGGTTATTCGGAAACCACGAGGCCGATTCCCCATTATAGCAACCAGGGAAACAATTAACATAGGTTCCAGTAGAGTCTGGACAATGTGAAAGACTGGAGAGGGCCAGTTGAATAGCAGCGGAAATGAAAAGGTACGACATGGCGGTGCTTAGAACAGAAAAGGTTAACTTCGGGAGAGCTGCTGTTGTACTCCGATCATGAACAAGAAAATGCCGTGCTTTCAACAAGATAGTTATAGGTGGTAGTATATTCTCTCACAAACTCATACAAAAAGCTACATAGTTTTAGTATAACTATACTAGAGAACCATATCAATAACATTTACATCCGTAAAATGTTCGAAAGGTTCGTGAAGGATGTACGAACAAAGACATGGGCTAACACAGCTTCAGACCACTACCTGGAGGTGGTCAAGTTAAAACTGAAGCTAAAGAAGCAATGAAT